AGGAGAACACTATCAGCATCAAGTGTGGTTAACACAGAGTTAAACATTTATTTATTATTTTTTTTAAATATGCTCTTTAAAGCCTGGGGAGCAAAGTACAATCAAATCATTCTGTAAAATACTGACACTGGATTAATGCTGAAGTGATAAACAAAATCCAAATAAGCAGCAAGGCACCTGTCGAGGCCCTTCAGTCTCAGGTGGGCTCGGAAAGGGGCTGTGTGAGCATCTGGTTCAGGACCCTTTAAAACACCAGGGTGTGGCCCAGCCACTACCTTGACCACAGGGGCGCCTCCATTCGGTCCACCAGGCCTTCTCCTGGACTCACAGCCCTGAATAAATCCTGGCTTTGTTACTTGCAAGTTCTAGTACCAGATGTGACCTCTCTAAAGCCTCAGTTTTCTCAGCTGTGCAAGGGGGAAGATAAGATTTACTGTCCAGAATTTTTTTGAAATTTAACAGGAAATGCATGAAAAGTCCTTAGTTCAGTGCCTGGCACACAGTGAGCACCCAACAATTTTCTCCTCTCTGTCCTTTGAATCTCTTAGTCCCCCTGACTCTTCCAGACTGCCAACTCACACCCTTTCCCAGAACATTATGGTCTGGCTTAGTAATCATATCTCATTGCATCAGTATACATTCTTCCAACCTAACAACAGGGTAAATTCTTTAAAGCCAGACATGGTTGATTATTAATAAACAAATGGCATGTATGTATCAATCTCAGCTCTACATCTTTATAAGCCTTGACTTGTTAAGTCGTCAAAACAACCCTATGATGTAGTTCATATGATTCCTATTTCAAAGATGAGAAAACTGAGGCACAGGACAATTCAGTAACTTTCAGAGGTGACTGCTCATCAGCTCCTGTGCTGAGACTTGAATCTGAACTCACGAGAGCTGGCTCAGAGACCAGGCTCTTCACCAACAGACCCCCTGTATTCTAGACTTCTGTGCCCACAACCCCTCTCACACAAAGGTCCTCAACAAAAACCTGTCAACGCAAAGATGATTGGGTCAACAAGTGTCACTTTGAACATGAGGAAACTGAAAAACAATGAGGTTACATAGTTTGTCCTGGGTCAAAAGAACAACTGGGAAGTTGATTATGGCCCAAAGTGTCACAGCCCCAGTGGCTTGCTCTTCTGGCCACACCATCTGGATGGTCTTTTGAGGGAGGAGTTGCACACTGATGGAAGGACAGGAAGAGAAGACCTTTGATAAGACCTCTGTCCACAATCCCACACCAGGCCAGGTGAAGTCCACATTTCTCTTACCCCATGGCCCCACCCACCATGTCCCAATAGGGGTCTTCATACTTTGGGTCAGCCATTCCTACGTATTGGCTTTTACTTTCAGGTACCTGGTGTTGCATATGTACAAGAGAGCCAGCTGAACTGGAGGCCAGGTGAGTGAGACACAGGCCCAGCCTAGATGCCTCGCAGGCCACGGCTGGGTTCAAACCTTCACCAACTTCAAACAAACATCTCACATACTCGAGGTTTTCCAAACCAAATTCTGCTTCTAGAGTGCCGTGTAAAATCACGAATGATTTTACAATTTTTCATCTCTCAGTAGTTTTAAAATTTTTTAACATTTATTTATTATTTTTGAGAGAGAGAGACAGACTGTGAGTGGGAGAGGGGCAGAGAGAGAGAGAGAGCTACAGAATCTGAAGTTGATTCCAGTCTCTGAGCTGTCAGCACAGAGCCTGATGTGCGGCTCAAACCCATAAACCATGAGATCATGACCTGAGCAAAAGCTGGACACTTAATCAACCGAGCCACCCAGGCACCCCGTAAAGTAGTTTTTTAAAAAGCTCAAGAGAATAAGGGGCACCTGGGTATCTCTATTGCTCTATCATCCAACTCTTGATTTTGGTTCAGGTCATGATCTCTTGGTTTGTGGGATTAAGCCCCATGTTGGGCTCTGTGCTGACAGTGCAGAGCCTGCTTGGGTCTCTCTCTCTCTCTCTCTCTCTCTTGCTCTCTCAAAATAAATAAATTTTTAAAAATAGAAATAAAAACTTAAGAGAATAAATCCCTAATTTTAATCATTTACAGTTTATCAATATGTTACCTTGTACTTCTAAGAAAACTCCCTGTTGTGTAGCAATCGGGGCACAGTCTAAGGACTCAGGGACCTGGGTTCAAATCTCATCCCCTGGACTTGGTAGCTGTGGGCTTTGTGCCTCAAACTCCTCAGATTTAAAAGGGTAATAATACAGTATCTACCTCATAGGCTTGTTTTGAGGATTAAATGAATTTATGTGTATGTGTGTATATACACACATGGATAAATACACATATATATTAGGTCTACTATATATATATATACATACACACACAGATAGATGTAACTATACCTACATAACTATATGCATAGCTATACATGTAGTTATGGGGTTGAATTTTGTTCCCTCAAAATTCATACATGAAGTCTTAACTCCCAGAACCTCAGAATGTGACCTTATTGGGAGAATGGGTTTTTACAGAGGTGATCAAATTAAAATGGAATCTTTAGGATGGGCTCTTGTCCTGTATGTTATAAGAAGAAGAAATTTGGACACAGATATGTAAAGACACAGGGAGAAGACAGCCATCTACATGCCAAGGAGGGAAACCTGGGACAGATTCTCCCACAGCCCTGAGAAGGAATTGACCATGTTGACACCTTGGTTTCAGACTTCTGGCCTCCAAACTATGAGAAAATAAGTTTCTGCTATTAAATCACCCTAATACATGCCAAGGAGGGAAACCTGGGACAGATTCTCCCACAGCCCTGAGAAGGAATTGACCATGTTGACACCTTGGTTTCAGACTTCTGGCCTCCAAACTGTGAGAAAATAAGTTTCTGCTATTAAATCACCCTAATTTGTGGTCCTTTGTGATAGAAGTCCTAGAAAACTAGTGTGTGTGTGTGTGTGTGTGTGTGTGTCTGTGTGTGTGTGTGTCTGTGTGTCTGTGTCTGTGTGTGGAGAGAAAGGCATCACCAATACAGAAGGTACCCAGAATATGTAAGTAATAGTACTTATATAAGTAACTATTAATAGTAGTATATATGTTATTAATCAAAAACTACATAGTTTTACACTGCACTTTGTAATTATTTTTTTAAATTTTTATTTATCTCTGAGAGAGAGAGAAAGAGCACGAGCAGGGGAGGGGCAGAGACAGAAGGAGATGTAGAATCTGAAAACTCCTCTGAGCTGTCAGCACAGAGCCTCACAGGGGGCTCGAACTCACAAACTGTAAGATCATGACCTTAGCCGAAGTCAGAAGTTCAACCCACTGAGCCGCCTAGGTGCCACCACTGCACTTTTTATAAATGCAGACCTGTGGAGTACAAAATGGCACAAGAGGAAATCTCAGGCAGCTGCAGTCCACACGTACTCCACCGCAAAGCCAGGCCAGCCAGGCTCATCTCCTCGTATCTAGACCAAACCACAGGAGCCACTCCATAACCAGTAATAATGGAGTCTCTCTACAACTTCTTCTAAGTCCTGCTTTCCCTTGGCTGTTATAAGTCAAACGTGAGCTTGTATCATCACTGATTTAATGTTGAAACAAACACTTCCTACTCTTCGTCTTTCTAGCATCCAAATGAGTTTAATGAGAATGTATTCATTTACACAAAGGCAAGCTACCAAAAATAGTTACATTTTATAGCTAATTACCTGCGAATTCATCCCAGTATTGTGAAACCAAATCACAGTGGGATTGATTGGGAATTGGGGAGCCGAGGCTAATATAAGATTGGAACTGCCATCAATAACCCCTTATGGCATGTTTTGTGTTAACCAAACAGTCTCATTTTCCCTCATTGACTGTTCGTAAGTAAATTATGGACTTGAACTCCTGATGTAATATAGATTTGCCCTAGTACAAATTCCTGATTCACATCCGTGTCATGAATTAAAGAAAAACAGAAGATTATGTTTGAAAAAGAGGGAGATTGTGATGGTTAATTTTATGTCACCTGACTAGGCTACAAGGTGCCCAGGTGTTTGGTTGAACATCATTCTGGGTGTGTCTGTGAGGGTGTTCCTAGATGTGATTAGCATTCAGATCATTAGACTGAGTACAACAGAGCAGCCTCCCCAGCGTGGACGAGCCTCATCCAATCCCACTGGGGGCCTCTACTCCCACTGGGAGTGAAGGAGAATCCTCTCTCCCTGTCTGACCGGCACTGAGCTGGGACATAAATCTCCTGCCTTCACGCCTAGGCTGGAACTCACAGCATCAGCTCTCCTGGCTCTCAGGCCTCAGGCTCAACCCCCAACTACACCATTAGCTCTTGTGGGTCTCCAGCATGCTGACTGCAGGTCTGGGACTTGTCAGCCTCCATAATCACATGAGCCAATGCCTTTTAATAAATCTGACAGAAGATGACATGAGACAGGAGGGGAGGGAGGACTAAGGGAGGAAAGGGGAGGGAGGGGGGGTCTCCTGTTGGTTTTGTTTCTCTGGAGAACTTTTACTAATATAGGAGCTGTCCTGTTACAAGTCAATGTCGCCTATATCATGGTCTTTGGTAAAAACTGCTTTTTGAATTTCATTCAAAGAAGCTTTGCCTCCTGTAGGCATCACTGCTGTGTTCCTTTCTGATGAGTCAGCCGAGGGCCAGGAAGCTCAGACACAGGGTCTGCTGAGCCACAGCAACGGCATAGACCCATACATCTGGTATCTTTGCTTCCTCTTCATTCTTAGGGCCACATTATAATTGTTAAATGGGCTTACTAAGCACACTGCACACACCAAATTGTTTTTGGAAAAGAATAAGCATAGTCAATAAATAATTTGGGTTAACACAAATCCAAATTTCATCTGTGTCTACCTTTATATGACAATGGTCAAATATTTTCCATGAAGGGAACAAGTGAACAATGTTTGACTTTACTTTCTTTCCCCCTCTTTTCTCCATTCCACAGATAGATAAGTATTTCCTCCAAACTACAAGTGCATAACATAAAAAAGTATGATTTGAAAATATCACATCACCTAACAGTTCTGAAGCATCACCATGTTCTCTGTAATTATTTTTAACTGTAGGCTCAACAAGCAGATATATTGGCTTATCTCTTGCTGCCCAGGTTCCTAAAAGACAAAACATAGCAATTACTGTTAAAGGAAAGAATTATAAAAATCATGCATCTTTAATGAAAGGCACAGGAATAGAAATATTATTATCTAGCTCGGCTGATTCCCAGTTTGAGCCTCTCCTGAGCCCATCCTGCCAGTAATTCTGGGGGGAGTAGATGGAAACTTGCACTGGGGAGTCAAGATCTCAGGGTTCGGGATACTGGGGTTCCAGCTCTACCCCTGCATTTAAGCAGCTAGATGACCTTGGGCAAGTCAATTATTCTTTGCAGATCTGAAACATCTGTACGATTGTACTACTATATATCATTATTAAGGCAATTTAGCATAATGCTTAGAATATGGATCCTGGACCAGCCAAGGTGACCTTGGATAAGTTACTTCACTCCTTGCTTCTGTTCCTTATCTGTGAAATGTAAAGAATATCAGACTTTACTCAGAGACTTTTTATAAGATATAACCAAATCAATACACGTAAAGTGCTCAGAGTGGTACCTTGTCCAGAACAAAGGATTCTTGAAATGTCAGCTATTATGATTATCTCCGAAGTGCCTTATCATTTAAAAATTATTCAAATTGACTCTGATACCTCTGCCAAGATTCTCAGTATTCTAGGATCTCATCGCTGGGATACAAAGTGAACACCAAAAGAAAATATTGAAATTGAAGAGTCATATTTTTCTCTTTTTACACTTATGTTATAGGAGGTTAAAAGCAACAGAAATTTCACAACTAATTAACAGTGCTAAAATAGCCATGTATACAATGAGGAATTTTACGTGGTAAATGCCTTAAAAGAAGTGGGGAGAAGATGGAAAAATTGCCTTTGAGAGAAGGAAATAACATTCACTGAGCACCCACTATCTCTTGGGTCCTCTATAAACCCATTCTATTAAGCCCTCCAATATCACTCTGAAGCAATTGGTACTGTTCCCATTGTACAGATGAGGAAACTAAGGATCAAGGAAGCTAATCACAGTTCCAAAAGCATATGGCTCTTCAAAGAGAGACTCAGATACCACACAGACTGGACTACACGACTGATTTCTTCCATTCCAGAGGCTGGGTCCAAAACACAGGTATTCCTTTCTCAGGGTGACGGTGGTAGGGAGAAGTTGATTTTTATACAACAAATTCTAATTTAAGTGCAATACAAAAAATTTTCTCTTTAAAAGACCCCTTAGTTAAGTTTTGGTATAAAGCAAAAAAGAAAAAAATAAAATAAAATCTGCAAAATATTACATCACTTCCTAATTTCTTAATATCAGTAACAGGAAAGAACAGTTGTCAAGTTAAGGACTGAGGTAGAATAGTTCAGTGGAATGCAATGGAGAAGAATTTGAAATCAGTGAGGATTAAAAGTACTTGTTAGGAAATATAGTCAATGGTTATAATATCACCATGTGGTGACAGATGGGAGCTACAATTGCAGTGAACACATCATAATGTATAGACTTGTGGAATCATTATCCTGTACACCTGAAACTAACACAACATTATATGCTAACTTTAACTCAATTAAAATATACTTTAAGTCTGATGACCTAAGTTTCAGTCCTATTTTTGACATTTACAAGCAGAATACAGTAACTATCTCAGAGTTCAATAAAGATAACTGAAGGGCCTTCCTCATAATCCATGAGGTTGGAGTAAAAGATGAGAAAGACTCCAGTTTCTGTAGTGATCATTCTAATTATTTGGTTTTGTCTTCAGAAAGAGAGTGTTTCTTAAGTGTCTTACATGTTTGAACACTCAGATACAATCTGAAATAGCACCTCTACATATTCTTTTGTAACCCCTCCCATCACCAGGCACAACTGGGAAATAGCATCTGCTCCCGGATTTGGGTCTCGTAATTCCTTATGCATCTACAAGACTTGACTGAATGTCTGTCTTCTGAAACGAGGTGGTGAAGCCCAGGAAGCAGCCACAGCCCCCTTCATTATTTTAGCATCCCCTACACCTGGAATTATGGCCTACTGAGTTAAACGTTCAATAAATGATTGTTGAATGAGTGAGATAAATCTTGGAATTCTATTTATCTGTGCCTGGATAGACAGCCAGCTACATAATTTTGCCCAGAGTGAAATGCAAATCCAGGGCCCTTTGTTTAAAAAGTAAAGGGAAAGAAGTGATGTTAAAGGTACTCAAATATAAAGCTTTCTCTGTTGTGGTCTCTCCCTACACTTGTCATGGTGTCTTTTATTTACTATTTCATGTTATTCTAAATAAAGAAAATTTAAACATTTAGTTATTAGCAAGACTCTTGTTCATCTTTTTTTATAACCTTAATTTTTTTAATGTTTGTTTATTTTGGAGAGAGAGAGAGAGAGAAAGAGTGTGAGTAGGGGAGGAGCAGAGAAAGAACAAGACATAGAATCCAAAGCAGACTCCAGGCCCTGAGCTGTCAGCACAGAGCCCGATGCAGGGCTTGAACCCATGACCGTGAAATCATGACCTGAGCCGAAGTCAGATGCTTAACCAACTGAGCCACCCAAGTGCCCCGGAATCTTATTCACCTATTATTGTATAATGCTAGCTTTAAGTGCAACCATAAGAGACTTCATAGGTCATATGCCCATGAAGTCAGCCCAGCTTGAGTACAGTTCAAACAAATTAAAGGATAAATGACAAAATTCAAGTTATCTCCTGGCATGAGCTTATATGACAGCAGCAAGCAAAGTCAAGCAAATCTGCCTGTGATAGGCAAAAGGCATTGTGGAATAGCTTTCTTCAACTTCTAACAATATTGAGGAAAACCCTCCATTTAACTGATTCCAAATTCCATTTATTCCCATGGAGATGAAGTCCGTCATAGTACATAAATGTTCACGTAAGTAAAGTTTCTATCATCTTTGGAAAAAAGAGAGAGGGAATAGAGAAAATATGCCATTAATATAAAGAATTAAGGATGTAGAAAATTGCCAGCTTTTATTTATTCATATTCCATTCTACCTTCATGCATGCAAGAAGCTGGCAAGATATTATATCATAATTATGGACTCCCCTAGCAGCCTGAGTATCAATGGTTCTTATTGTTCTAAGGTTTTCAGAAGCCCATGAGCTCCCAGATTGCATCTTGCAGAAAAAGAGCAGGAGCTAATTACATTGCATATTTATTCTTCTCCCACACCACCATTATCCACATAATTCCCTGTGGGTTCTAATTAGCTCAATCAGGGCTGGGGGAGGATATGATTTTAAGCAATTTCAGATAAATATGGGATTTTCTACCACCACAAAATTTGGCAAAATGCTAACCTTACCCAAATACACTTTATCTCCCATTTCTGAAGAAACCAGATAGCTGTTTTGTTGTGCTTAGACTTAATCAAGGATAATAGCTCTTAAATAATATCAACCTAGGTGGTGTGCAGTTTGGTGTTTTCTTGGAAAAAAATGCAATTTAAACATAATTTTTATTGGGCTCTTAAGTGATAGCTATGAAGATAACATCCAGTAAGTCTTCCGGTCCTTTTCCTCTTCTGTTTGATAATCTGCATTACCCAGAATCCTTATATTTTAATCCTGTGCAAACTGTAATAAATGGTGCTTAGGAAAAGGATTTTCCTGAAGGGTCAGTCATACTCTGGGAGAAGTAGCTTAATTAATCCAGGTTCTACTAAGTTTTCTTTAATGTTTACAGAAATATTTTTTTTCCTTAAAGCACCTAAAACTTCTCTCAACATAAACAAGAGCAGTATAAGAGTCTCTCCTTTTCCCTATCACCTCATTATTAATTCATCTAGCTTCAGGATCTCAGTTCTCATCAGGGAGATGGCTCCTGTGGCTACACTTACAATCAGCTTGGTGCCAAAATGGCCTCATGCAATCACCCTTCTCAAATCCACTGAGGACTCTTGATGAAAGAAAGCACTTGGAAGGCAATACCGTACACTGAGACCCAGTTCTCAGGGTCCAATGGCTGGAGCGTGGGGGTCATATCCCGTCTTCTCTTTACCATCCAGTCTCGATCTTGGGGAAGATCAGGCAAAGTAGGGAGAGGGAGACCTAAAGAGACCTCCAGAAAGGACCTGAGTAGGCAACCTAGACCAGAGCCAAGCCTGGCCACCCAAGGACTGAATGCAATCCGCAAAAACATTTTGTTTTTTTCACCTTCCTCCCCATTTCAATACATAGTCTTGTAGTAGTGGCTAACTTGTAAATAATGGAAGTATTCACATAAAACTCCATAAATGGGAGGCCTGTATTCCGAACTGTTCAAATTGGTAAGTGCTGAGTTGAAGCAGCCATCTTTCCACAAGACAAAGGCTTCTTGCTGTCTGTCATTCCTATCCCACCAGGCTGGTTCTTCCTTTGAACTGACTAGCTCCTACAGAGACTTGAATTCTTTGCCCTAAATCCAAAACCCACATGGGCCTTTTCCAAGTACCTCTAGATGGTGTTTGGCTTGGATCAAAATGCCAGAGAGGCAATCAGCCCATTAAGAGAGAAAAGGATATAAAGCAAAAGCTTCATTCAAATGGTTTTATTTCTAAAAACTGAAATAGAGGAATGATGAGGTTTCATCATTCCCTCACTCAATACATGTATGCTGGGCACCTACCATGTGCCTGGTACCATTTGAGGAGCTAGAGATGCAATGGTAACAGGACTACATTCCTGTCCTTACCAAGCTTCCCTTCTCTTGTGGGACAGGCAGTAACTAGAAAAATAAATATGTATCACATCTGGCAAACAGTAAGTGCTGAGGGACTAAATATACAAACGGCTGATGGCCAGAGTATATATAAAAATAGAATTCTGACCTGCAACCTGCAACCACCTGCCCAGGAAACCAACCCAGGAAGCCAGCCTTCTGTAAGTCAGACTTGTCAGAAGGCAGACACCAGGAATCTCAACAATACCCTTGTAACAATTGGCCAGGACTTTATTAATGGCTGGCAGCTTCCCTAACTTTTGCCCTTGCTTCCAAATTAGGACCAACTAGGGAAAACCAAATATATACCCCTGACCAATCACATAGAAGACCCTAC